ATATTGTATATATATATATATATATATATATATATATATATATATATATATATATATATATATATATATATATATATATATATATAAAACCTTAATTATGTCGAACTTAAAATAAAAATAATTGTGAAATTTGAGAATGAAATTACAAATATAGTTTATAAATAAATTTAAGAAGTAATAAGAACGAGCAACACAAATATTATGCCCAGTAGCCTTAACTTCCTTACCCATTTCTTAATTATTTACTTGATGTCATAAAAACAGATATATTATTAACAATAATGAAAAAAAATGTGAAGATGTTGGGAGGAAAAAAAATGATATATATAATTTTATATATCTTTTTTATATATAGAAAAAAGGAAAATATTTTTTTTAATTATTAATCAATAATAATAATGCAAAGTTCCTCCATTTCATATTCATTAAATATGTGAATTTAATTCTATAAGCAATTAATCACCCGTTAGTTTTTTCTAAAAAACATATAAATTTTCCTACTAATGTGAACCGTTCAAAGTTACTTCAATCATTTGTTTCATAATAATTAAATCATTCTTAAAATTTTTAATTTTCTTTAAAAAATATCTTTGAGATTTAAAAAATTGAATTTTACTTTTCCAAAATATTATTTCAATGGGCATATTGAGTATCCTTTGTGGAAAAAAAAGTGTTCATCTAATTGCTAATAGAAAGTATTAATAATTGAATGATATATCATCAATGAACTAAAGTTGTTTAATTTTAAAAAATAAAAAAATAAAACCACCATTAAACTTTAATTGAGATCAAAATTGGACGTTTATAAAATTGTAGAATTATTGGAGTAAAAATTATTTAAGCTAGAAATTTCGCGTATCCGCAAGTTGATAAAAATAAGGATATTTCACTTCAGTGTATTTGTAAAAAAATCGCTAGACTGAAGCTCTTTTATTTCACTTTCTATGCTCGTGTCTCTTCTCTCTCACAAGGTAATAATGACTTGTATAGCTTAGGTAAAGTAAGTTCCAGTGGTGCTTAACATCCCTGTAATATTATTAGGTTTCAACATTATTGTATCTGTTGTTTATGCATATGCGAATCGCGATCAGCGTGTTCCTTAGGTTGGTGTCTCTGACTAGCTAGGGTTTTAGGGTTGCATCTCAAATTCCACGCAACTACTGCGATTTTGCGTCGTTTATTCCAATCTAATTGATTTTACTGTTAATGCTTTCCTTTCCTTTCACACTTCTCGATCTGCGTTACTTGAACTCGTTGTGGTTTCTAGCTTGTTTTTTTAATGAACAGGTTGGTTTGGTGGTACGAAGTGCGAATTGTTTGCTAGGATTTTTTATATTTTATTTTTTGGTAATGTGATCTTTGTGTTGCTCTCTTTCTCTCCGTTTTGGTTTAGTTTAGGGTTGAGTTGAGAATGCTAGTGGAATAGGAAGATTTTGGAAAAATATATTTCGAAAGCGTGGAAGTGCAGCAGTGTAGTTCTGTTGTATTACTAGGATTGGTGTTTCTTTGCTTAGTGATGGATTATTGCTTAATATCAGTGGATAGCTGGTGTTTGTCTAATGGTGTTTTGTTTCTTCAGATCAGTTGTTAAACAGATTAAGTTTTGATAACTGAGTGGAGGAGGATGGCAAAGAAGAAGAATTGTCTGGTATTTATGGATGTGTCCATAGATGGGGATCCGGTTGAAAGGATGGTTTTTGAGGTGCATTTTTTGTCTCTATAAATTGTCATTTTTAATGATGTATGTGCAGTAATTTTGCTGTATTTGATCTAAGTTCCTGGTTGTGCTTCTGTCAGCTTTTCTATGATGTTGCTCCGAAGACTGCTGAAAATTTCCGTGCATTATGCACAGGTAATAAATTTGATCTGCGTGAAAAAATCATTTAATGTTGATATTTGTTTATTGGGCCTTTTCAATATAAAGTTCCATGTATTGAATTGTGCTTGAAAAATTGGAACATTTTAAATAGTATTCCTTGTCTATTCAATGAATAACTGATTCCCCTACCCCATTTCTTTTCTGAAATATGTCATTGTATATTCAGGAGAAAGAGGAGTCAGTCCAAACACTGGAAAGTCACTACATTACAAGGGTTCTTTCTTTCATCAAATCGTTAAAGGCTCCATTGCCCGGGTATGCTGTTTTTTTTTTTTGTGCATAGCTCTTACTCTAGTAGTTCTCTATGTCCTCACATATTTTTGTGGTTAAAATTGGCTTAGTAGTGTTCCCTCTTTTAGCCAGTTACCGTTGTTTATTCTGTAGGATACAGGGCTGATGGTCACAGCTACCTTTCTTGTGATATAGTTTTAAGGTTGTACTTACTAAGTTATATCTCATTCACACTCATAACTCTAATAAGCCCCATGATGACCAAACACAAGTGTGTGAAATGTTATTAAATGATTGTATGTGCTAATGGTTGGTTTACTTTTTGCAGGGAGGTGATTTTGTAAACCGAAATGGTACGTATTATGTTGATACACGCCACCTATAATGAATTATTTCACTAGTTTTTGAATATTTCTATTAATACAGTATATGTAGTTACTTTCTTTTTTACCATTTGATCACTCAGTTGTCCGAGTTACAAGCCTTGTTCCTTTTTTATGTTTACTGTGACAATGGTATTTTCTTTTCAAGGTCAATTAGGTAACTAACAGAGCTCTTTTGCAAGTATATATTGGCTTGTAATGGGGTGGGGAGTATCAAAGGAATTTTATTTTCCATTTTTAGTTAGTTTTTTTATATTACCCTGATGTGGCTTGTTGTAATTTTAAAACTATAGCCATGCCATCATACGCTTTTTATCTATCGTGTAACTTCTTCAATTATTCTTTTCCATCTCTTAGTGTGCATTTGTTAAAATCAAGCTATGCTGGGGTTGTTACTTTTTTTCTGTTAACCAAATTGATCTTGAACCACTCTAAAGCAAAAGGGGTCTTTAATAATCATATTCAGCCTTGTTTTCTACTTTATAGTTATGTGGCAGAAAAGCAGGTTTGTCTTTAAATCTATTAAACCTCATTGGCAGTCATCTATTATTCTTTGTATAGCATTCCAAATGCTGCACACGTTGTGTACTACATCCTTCTACACTCCCACATCACATTGTCCTGTGTGTTTTGCAGGGACTGGTGGAGAAAGCATTTATGGTTCCAAGTTCCCAGGTGAGAATGCTAAGCTGTGGTCTATAGCTCTCATAGTCTACAGCATGAATTTGGAACTGTCATGTTTATGCATCTAAGTTGATGTGGTTTTAACAGATTGTACTTGTGATGTTTCAGATGAATCACCTAGGCTAAAGCACGATGCTCCAGGCCTTCTTTCCATGCCAGTTGCTGATCGTGACACTCTTGGTTCTCATTTTATCATCACTTTTAAAGCTGATCCACATCTTGATAGGTTTGCTTATGTGGCTCTTTTAATGGCATTTAGCACTTTGGTCCCATTTGGATAATTTTATTTAGAGCTAATTTGAGCTTATCTACTGCAATAAGTGACTATGAAACATTTTAGTGCTGTTTGGATGAAATGATTATTAAAACAACTCTTGAAAACCCCATTTAAGCAGTGTTTGGATTATTTTTATTAGCTAAAACCTCATCAGCACTGGTTTTTGTAAAAGTTAACATCAGTTTACGTGGTCCCATTTGGTTTTTGTTGTATTGTGGAAATTTTATTTTTTCTTGAGTATTCTCTATACATATATTCATACGCCATCTGGCTTAATTTAAAATTTACTTGAGGAAATGGAGCATTGAACCTTATGTTGCAAGAATTTTTCAATTAGAAGTACATGATTTGTTGTATTGCTTTTATGAATGGGATCTTTGTCTCTCTAGTTATTGAGTGGGAGAAGGTGAATTGCCTTTGCTTTTTTTTTTTTAGTGGAACTAAATTACCAACTTGCTTATCTTCTTCAATTCTGAGTTTATTTTGCAGGAAACATGTAATCTTTGGAAAGCTTGTGCAAGGAGATAAAATATTGAAGAAAATTGAAGATGTGGGTGATGAAGAAGGACTTCCAAGCGTAACTGTTAAAATAATTAGTTGTGGTGAACATAATGAGGGTGAGAATTCCTTTGACCTTTAGGCAGAATACTAAGTTCTACCCTTGATGTGAACTAATATTATTTGAACTATTAAATTCTTAATAATCTGTTGAAAGTTTCAAGTACAACTATTAAAAATGCTGAAGCATAACATTATTTGTTCGTTTGAATGTGATACATGCTGATTTATATTTGATCTGTTGATTTGAATCTTTACCTTTGTAGATGGAAAGAAGATAAATAAGTCAAAAAAGGGAAGACTTGGATCTTCTGAAACCCATAGTCCTGAACTGCACAGGGGAAAGCACAAAAAATCTTCAGGTGACAAAAGGAAAAGAAGAAAGTACTACTCATCAGAATCGAGTAGTTCCTCAGATTCAGACATGAGATCATCAGAAAGTGATAGTGATTCTGACTCGGATACATCTTCATCTTACACAAGTTCCTCCAGTGATGACAGGCGGAGAAAGAGAAAGAGGTCTAGGAAAGATAAACATAGACGCGGAAAAAGAAGAGACCAACACCGAGACAAGAGACGAAGGAAACAAGACAAAAGGTCAAAACGCAAATCAAGAAGGTATCAATTTTGATTTCGTATTTGGTTATGGTTTATGAATTCCACATTCTAATTATAGATGCTTGCTTGTGAAGAACTTACAATAGCTGTGTATATCTCGTGGTTTTATGTGTTGTGGTTTATTTATTCTATTAGCACATTGCATGTTGTTTGGTTATGAGTATCATAGCTGCTGTCTCATTGAATGATGCTGCATTTATTTTTCTTGACATAAACATTTATATGTATTGAAGGGGCTATAGATGTAATCTTTAGTGCAACACGATCAAAAAGTTGGCTGACACTGAGATTGTCTTTGGTGTTAGGGAATTGACCTGTCATACGGATTCAGATAGTGATAATAAGACCGGCAACAGCTCTGGTGGTGAAAGCCGTGGTGCTCAAGCAAAAGATCAAAAGCATAAAGATCATTCTCAGAAGCATGGTAATGTTTTAGTCATTCACTTTTTTAGTTTATTATGTACAAGAAATATAGTTTATCTCTTAAACCGTTTTCTTTTACTTTACCTTGTCTCTAAAGATGTAAAACCCTGAAATATTAGCTAGAATTTTGTAAAATAATGATTTGTTGTGGGCCTATACTGGCCTAGATTTTGGTTGTATTGTATATTGAATTGTTGCCTAGAGACAATCCAATTCAGGTACCTACATGGAGGGGATGGGCGACTGCTTTGATTTGCCTGCATTGTATTATTTTACCTTGTTGATACTGTAATTGTGAATACTTTTGTATTTTACTTTTCTTTAATTGATCCGTATTTAAGCTTTTGGAAAGAAATANTTTTTTTAATTATTAATCAATAATAATAATGCAAAGTTCCTCCATTTCATATTCATTAAATATGTGAATTTAATTCTATAAGCAATTAATCACCCGTTAGTTTTTTCTAAAAAACATATAAATTTTCCTACTAATGTGAACCGTTCAAAGTTACTTCAATCATTTGTTTCATAATAATTAAATCATTCTTAAAATTTTTAATTTTCTTTAAAAAATATCTTTGAGATTTAAAAAATTGAATTTTACTTTTCCAAAATATTATTTCAATGGGCATATTGAGTATCCTTTGTGGAAAAAAAAGTGTTCATCTAATTGCTAATAGAAAGTATTAATAATTGAATGATATATCATCAATGAACTAAAGTTGTTTAATTTTAAAAAATAAAAAAATAAAACCACCATTAAACTTTAATTGAGATCAAAATTGGACGTTTATAAAATTGTAGAATTATTGGAGTAAAAATTATTTAAGCTAGAAATTTCGCGTATCCGCAAGTTGATAAAAATAAGGATATTTCACTTCAGTGTATTTGTAAAAAAATCGCTAGACTGAAGCTCTTTTATTTCACTTTCTATGCTCGTGTCTCTTCTCTCTCACAAGGTAATAATGACTTGTATAGCTTAGGTAAAGTAAGTTCCAGTGGTGCTTAACATCCCTGTAATATTATTAGGTTTCAACATTATTGTATCTGTTGTTTATGCATATGCGAATCGCGATCAGCGTGTTCCTTAGGTTGGTGTCTCTGACTAGCTAGGGTTTTAGGGTTGCATCTCAAATTCCACGCAACTACTGCGATTTTGCGTCGTTTATTCCAATCTAATTGATTCTACTGTTAATGCTTTCCTTTCCTTTCACACTTCTCGATCTGCGTTACTTGAACTCGTTGTGGTTTCTAGCTTGTTTTTTTAATGAACAGGTTGGTTTGGTGGTACGAAGTGCGAATTGTTTGCTAGGATTTTTTATATCTTATTTTTTGGTAATGTGATCTTTGTGTTGCTCTCTTTCTCTCCGTTTTGGTTTAGTTTAGGGTTGAGTTGAGAATGCTAGTGGAATAGGAAGATTTTGGAAAAATATATTTCGAAAGCGTGGAAGTGCAGCAGTGTAGTTCTGTTGTATTACTAGGATTGGTGTTTCTTTGCTTAGTGATGGATTATTGCTTAATATCAGTGGATAGCTGGTGTTTGTCTAATGGTGTTTTGTTTCTTCAGATCAGTTGTTAAACAGATTAAGTTTTGATAACTGAGTGGAGGAGGATGGCAAAGAAGAAGAATTGTCTGGTATTTATGGATGTGTCCATAGATGGGGATCCGGTTGAAAGGATGGTTTTTGAGGTGCATTTTTTGTCTCTATAAATTGTCATTTTTAATGATGTATGTGCAGTAATTTTGCTGTATTTGATCTAAGTTCCTGGTTGTGCTTCCGTCAGCTTTTCTATGATGTTGCTCCGAAGACTGCTGAAAATTTCCGTGCATTATGCACAGGTAATAAATTTGATCTGCGAGAAAAAATCATTTAATGTTGATATTTGTTTATTGGGCCTTTTCAATATAAAGTTCCATGTATTGAATTGTGCTTGAAAAATTGGAACATTGTAAATAGTATTCCTTGTCTAGTCAATGAATAACTGATTCCCCTACCCCATTTCTTTTCTGAAATATGTCATTGTATATTCAGGAGAAAGAGGAGTCAGTCCAAACACTGGAAAGTCACTACATTACAAGGGTTCTTTCTTTCATCAAATCGTTAAAGGCTCCATTGCCCGGGTATGCTGTTTTTTTTTTTTTGTGCATAGCTCTTACTCTAGTAGTTCTCTATGTCCTCACATATTTTTGTGGTTAAAATTGGCTTAGTAGTGTTCCCTCTTTTAGCCAGTTACCGTTGTTTATTCTGTAGGATACAGGGCTGATGGTCACAGCTACCTTTCTTGTGATATAGTTTTAAGGTTGTACTTACTAAGTTATATCTCATTCACACTCATAACTCTAATAAGCCCCATGATGACCAAACACAAGTGTGTGAAATGTTATTAAATGATTGTATGTGCTAATGGTTGGTTTACTTTTTGCAGGGAGGTGATTTTGTAAACCGAAATGGTACGTATTATGTTGATACACGCCACCTATAATGAATTATTTCACTAGTTTTTGAATATTTCTATTAATACAGTATATGTAGTTACTTTCTTTTTTACCATTTGATCACTCAGTTGTCCGAGTTACAAGCCTTGTTCCTTTTTTATGTTTACTGTGACAATGTTATTTTCTTTTCAAGGTCAATTAGGTAACTAACAGAGCTCTTTTGCAAGTATATATTGGCTTGTAATGGGGTGGGTAGTATCAAAGGAATTTTATTTTCCATTTTTAGTTAGTTTTTTTATATTACCTTGATGTGGCTTGTTGTAATTTTAAAACTATAGCCATGCCATCATACGCTTTTTATCTATCGTGTAACTTCTTCAATTATTCTTTTCCATCTCTTAGTGTGCATTTGTTAAAATCAAGCTATGCTGGGGTTGTTACTTTTTTTCTGTTAACCAAATTGATCTTGAACCACTCTAAAGCAAAAGGGGTCTTTAATAATCATATTCAGCCTTGTTTTCTACTTTATAGTTATGTGGCAGAAAAGCAGGTTTGTCTTTAAATCTATTAAACCTCATTGGCAGTCATCTATTATTCTTTGTATAGCATTCCAAATGCTGCACACGTTGTGTACTACATCCTTCTACACTCCCACATCACATTGTCCTGTGTGTTTTGCAGGGACTGGTGGAGAAAGCATTTATGGTTCCAAGTTCCCAGGTGAGAATGCTAAGCTGTGGTCTATAGCTCTCATAGTCTACAGCATGAATTTGGAACTGTCATGTTTATGCATCTAAGTTGATGTGGTTTTAACAGATTGTACTTGTGATGTTTCAGATGAATCACCTAGGCTAAAGCACGATGCTCCAGGCCTTCTTTCCATGCCAGTTGCTGATCGTGACACTCTTGGTTCTCATTTTATCATCACTTTTAAAGCTGATCCACATCTTGATAGGTTTGCTTATGTGGCTCTTTTAATGGCATTTAGCACTTTGGTCCCATTTGGATAATTTTATTTAGAGCTAATTTGAGCTTATCTACTGCAATAAGTGACTATGAAACATTTTAGTGCTGTTTGGATGAAATGATTATTAAAACAACTCTTGAAAACCCCATTTAAGCAGTGTTTGGATTATTTTTATTAGCTAAAACCTCATCAGCACTGGTTTTTGTAAAAGTTAACATCAGTTTACGTGGTCCCATTTGGTTTTTGTTGTATTGTGGAAATTTTATTTTTTCTTGAGTATTCTCTATACATATATTCATACGCCATCTGGCTTAATTTAAAATTTACTTGAGGAAATGGAGCATTGAACCTTATGTTGCAAGAATTTTTCAATTAGAAGTACATGATTTGTTGTATTGCTTTTATGAATGGGATCTTTGTCTCTCTAGTTATTGAGTGGGAGAAGGTGAATTGCCTTTGCTTTTTTTTTTTTAGTGGAACTAAATTACCAACTTGCTTATCTTCTTCAATTCTGAGTTTATTTTGCAGGAAACATGTAATCTTTGGAAAGCTTGTGCAAGGAGATAAAATATTGAAGAAAATTGAAGATGTGGGTGATGAAGAAGGACTTCCAAGCGTAACTGTTAAAATAATTAGTTGTGGTGAACATAATGAGGGTGAGAATTCCTTTGACCTTTAGGCATAATACTAAGTTCTTCCCTTGATGTGAACTAATATTATTTGAACTATTAAATTCTTAATAATCTGTTGAAAGTTTCAAGTACAACTATTAAAAATGCTGAAGCATAACATTATTTGTTCGTTTGAATGTGATACATGCTGATTTATATTTGATCTGTTGATTTGAATCTTTACCTTTGTAGATGGAAAGAAGATAAATAAGTCAAAAAAGGGAAGACTTGGATCTTCTGAAACCCATAGTCCTGAACTGCACAGGGGAAAGCACAAAAAATCTTCAGGTGACAAAAGGAAAAGAAGAAAGTACTACTCATCAGAATCGAGTAGTTCCTCAGATTCAGACATGAGATCATCAGAAAGTGATAGTGATTCTGACTCGGATACATCTTCATCTTACACAAGTTCCTCCAGTGATGACAGGCGGAGAAAGAGAAAGAGGTCTAGGAAAGATAAACATAGACGCGGAAAAAGAAGAGACCAACACCGAGACAAGAGACGAAGGAAACAAGACAAAAGGTCAAAACGCAAATCAAGAAGGTATCAATTTTGATTTCGTATTTGGTTATGGTTTATGAATTCCACATTCTAATTATAGATGCTTGCTTGTGAAGAACTTACAATAGCTGTGTATATCTTGTGGTTTTATGTGTTGTGGTTTATTTATTCTATTATCACATTGCATGTTGTTTGGTTATGAGTATCATAGCTGCTGTCTCATTGAATGATGCTGCATTTATTTTTCTTGACATAAACATTTATATGTATTGAAGGGGCTATAGATGTAATCTTTAGTGCAACACGATCAAAAAGTTGGCTGACACTGAGATTGTCTTTGGTGTTAGGGAATTGACCTGTCATACGGATTCAGATAGTGATTATAAGACCGGCAACAGCTCTGGTGGTGAAAGCCGTGGTGCTCAAGCAAAAGATCATAAGCATAAAGATCATTCTCAGAAGCATGGTAATGTTTTAGTCATTCACTTTTTTAGTTTATTATGTACAAGAAATATAGTTTATCTCTTAAACCGTTTTCTTTTACTTTACCTTGTCTCTAAAGATGTAAAACCCTGAAATATTAGCTAGAATTTTGTAAAATAATGATTTGTTGTGGGCCTATACTGGCCTAGATTTTGGTTGTATTGTATATTGAATTGTTGCCTAGAGACAATCCAATTCAGGTACCTACATGGAGGGGATGGGCGACTGCTTTGATTTGCCTGCATTGTATTATTTTACCTTGTTGATACTGTAATTGTGAATACTTTTGTATTTTACTTTTCTTTAATTGATCCGTATTTAAGCTTTTGGAAAGAAATATGATGTTTTCTTTGAATTGGCAATGTAAAGCAAACATGATTTTACAATTTGTCTTCTCGGTCACATATATCACTTAAATGCGTCATCTACAAACTTGTAGCTTGTATAGAAGGACAACGTTATTGTGTAGATTTTAATTTTTAGTTTTCATGTTTTAGTGTGACATCATGTCTTTATTCTTCTTTTTAATTTTGTTGCAGCTGAAGGTCAGTCTTCCTTGGTTGTGGATAAAGAATTACCTGCTGTGCTCCTCACAAAAGGGGAGAAACTGAACATGCTGGAGGAGGAAAAATTCCCAAAGGAAAATGGACAGCGGCGTAGCAATGGCAATGGAGCCAACTATAGATCTGACAGAAGTGAAGGGAGGCAGCCTGATGTGATGGATGATCAACCAGGCAAATCTAGGTCTACTTTCCACTCTTGTCGCACAGTTATTTCTTATGCTTACCATTTCTTCAAGATGTGGTATTTTATTAAAAGTTGATAAGCAGGAGTCAAAGCATGAGTATTAGTCCAAAGCGTGAGAGCAGAAGTCCTAGCATTAGTCAAAAAAGGAGGTTGAGCAGAAGTCCAAGTGGTAGTAGAAGCCCTCAAGCTCCATTACGGAGGAGTTTGAGCGGGAGTCCAAACAGAAGAAGCATCAGCAAAAGCCCAGTGAGAGGTAGAAAGGGGAAAAGTGTCAGTAAAAGCCCTGTGCGATCTCGTGGATATAGAAGTGTCAGTACAAGCCCTGTTAGATCCCTTTCCCGGAGCCACCAGAGGACTTCATCCAGAGCACCATCACGAAGATCAATCAGCAGAAGTCCTGTGATTAATCATAATCATAGAAGTGTCAGTAGAAGTCCTATTAGATATCGTGATCATAGAAGTGTTAGTGTAAGCCCTGCAAGATCCCTTTCCCGGAGCCGCAAGAGTTCACCCAGAGCACGATCACAAAGATCAATCAGCAGAAGCCCTGTGAGAACACACAATCATAGAAGTGTCAATAGAAGCCCTGTGAGATCTAGTGGTCGGAGAAGTGTCAGTGCAAGCCCTGTGAGACCCCTTTCTCGGAGCCGGAGGAGGAGTTCACCCAGAGCGCCATCTCGAAGATCAATCAGTAGAAGTCCATTGAAAACTGATATTCGTAGAAATGTTAGTAGAAGCCCTGTGAGATCCCATGGTCATAGAAGTGCGAGCGCAAGCCCTGTAAGATCGCCTTCACGGGGCCGCAGGAGGACTTCACCCAGAGCACAATCACGAAGATCAATCAGCAGAAGCCCTGTAAGAGTGTCCAGAAAGACCATCAGCAGGAGTCCAGTTAGATCATCGGCCAGAAGCATGAGCAGAAGCTTGAGCAGAAGTTCTGGCAGAGTCCCTGTAAGAAGCATCAGCCGAAGTCCAGCTAGAGTGCCAAGCAGAGGCAATCGCCACAGTTATTCTAGGAGTCCACGTGGTAGAAGCTTGTCTAGAAGTGTGTCACCTGATGTTTCCCCAAAACGTATTAGAAGGGGAAGAGGTTTCAGTGAACAGTACTCCTATGCTAGAAGGTATAGAACTCCCTCTCGATCTCCTGTGAGGTCGTACCGCTATAATGGAAGAAGTTACCGTGACAGGTAAATCGGTAAAGTTGTTTAGAATTTCTAGTTAGTCATGGTGCTAAGGTGGCATGTTGAGAGTTAAATAACCTTTTTATACTTTCTGCTCAGATATTCAGGTTACAGGAGGTACTCCCCTAGGCGTAATAGGAGCCCACTTCCACGTAGAAGAACTCCACCAAGGTTTTCCTTTTGTTTATTTATTTATTCCAACTTCCTATAACATTTACGTTACTTGAATTTCTTAATAAATCTTGTAGATGCATGATTACTTTCCCATCGATCTATTTGGCAAGACATTTGGTTTTCTGAGGCCAAGTCTTATTTTTTCCCTATCATTTATGAATATGATAGCACCGTGCATATACGTAGAGTTCACATGACTGTGAAAATCTGAATATAGGTTCCGGAGGAGGAGCAGGACGCCATCTGTATCACGCAGTCCCCGATATCGAGGACGACGATATAGCCGAAGCCGTAGCCCCGTTCGAAGCCGTAGCCCTGTTCGCAGTCGTTCACCTGTCGGTACATTTCGACCTCGTGTTGAGAAGAGCAGGTCTTTATCCAGGAGTAGAAGTCCTTCACGATCCAGGGCTTCTATGGAATCACAATCTCCACTGAAGGCGAGCAGGAACAGTAGGTCAAGGTCCCCCCCTGAAAGCCCAAATGCAAAGAAAGGCCTTGTATCCTACGGAGATGGTTCTCCCTATTCAAACTAAGGTGAAATACTATGTCTGGCGTGTCTAGTGAGATCGTCACCAACATCTCTTATTTTCCTTTATAAGCCATTTTCTGGATATTTTTCCTCTGTTGAATTGAAATGGCTTGCAAACACAGTAATAGTGTTAGAATATTTAGAGACTAGAATGCAGTTGTGTTGTTTCGGTGTAGTGACCGAGATGAGTCGGACGTGTTACCTATGAAGTTATTTCGTAGTTATTAAATGCATCTGAGTAGAATTATGAAGTTTTTGCCTCCAAACATGCTCTTGGCTAGTATTTTTATATATTGGACATTTTAAGTACTTTGTTATCTATTATCTTTTTCAATGGAACATGTTGTGTTTAGATTACTGTGATATAAATTGCATAGAGTAAAAAATTACTTTATGGCTTTCTCTCTAAAGAAACATCTACTCTAAACAAACCATGACTATTTTCAATACAAGAATTTTGTAAGATCTTTTCACAAGACCTTTTCATCCTATCATATTTTAGTTTAAATAATTTTCATAATGGTATATGGTTTTTAATAATATTCTTTTGTAAGTTTATTAATAGTGAGGTTTTATAGGATTGATACTTTTGTAATGTTTTTTGGCACTTCAATTTTTCACTAACTTAAAAAAATTAATTTGATTATAAATATTGATTCAATGTGATTATAATTATATGGAAAATTAATATTATAAATAGAAACATAGTATTATTATTGATTTTTCATGTATTATATTATACACAACAAATAACATTTTTACATGAATAAAAATATATATTTGTATGGATCATATGGTTCTTGAGTATTTTTACAATGTTTAACCTGAATAATTATTTTCCTTTAAAATTGGTAGTTTAAAGCCATAAATGAGGTAGAAAGGGAGAGAGGAAAGGAGGGGAAAGAGAGTGAAAAAATATGATTGTTTGAATTTAGGATAAGTGTATGAAAATGAGTTCAAAATTTGTAGATGATGTGATTAATGTGATTGAAAAATAAATAAATGTTTAATTTATTAATTCATTAAAACACTCTTAATTATAGTAAAAAAGTGTATTTATTTCATACACGTGATTCTTAGAAAAGGAAACGGAGTGTCAAATCAAACTCCACATATGTTTTTCATACTTGAAAGAAAACAAACCTGCTTCAACATTTTTTTTTCTCTTCAAAATAAGTAGGGTGAGCAAACGAAACTCAACTGCGTTACTAAAAAAATTGTATTGAACTAAAAACTAATTTGTCTAAATTAAATTAAACTGTAAAATAATTTAGACAAACTGAGTTGAACTGTTTTTTGTTTTATTAAACTGGACTGAACTATACTAAATTATACTAAACTATAATATAAATTGAACTGAACTACTAACTGAATTGTAAACTGTACTAATTTTAACTTAACTACTAATTTTAACATTGCACTAGTTTTAAAATCTGATTTTAACACTATCTAATAACAAAGTAACGGTTAACTATGCAGAATTATGACTTATTAAACTAAGAGAAATGTAACATAAGTTATCTCAACAAGTTCTAATTGGTAAAAATTAATATGCAAAAATTACTATGTAAAACTGAAATTTAAAACTAATCTACTAACTATCAATTAGAATTAACATATAAAATATGAGCAAACCTAATAACGTTATAATCAACTAAATAGTGTTATAAAAAATCTGTATCAATTTTTTTTTAATTCTTGAAAAGAGAAAAAACACATAAGAAGGAGCATACACCCCAATAACAACTTAGAGCTTCAAGAAAAAGGAAAATTGAAGGAAGAGAAAGAATTTGAACTAGTTTAAGTAGTGTTTTTAATACTTTAAAGTATTTTTTTAAAATTTTAATGAAATAAATGTATTTTTTAAAGAGATAACTAATATACTGTATTTTGTTTTTAAATTAAATTATAAAATATTTGGTTATTGTATTTTATAGAATTAGTGTATGAAAGAAAAACAGATGATATTTGACATAAACTTTTTTAATGCATGATAATTAAAAATAAATAGAAGTATAGAGTGGATATTCCTTTAGAATGCCTATTTCCCTCACCCTTTCTTAGGGTAAAGGTTCATTTATTTGTTTTTATTTGTTTATTTATTTATTTAAATTTAATCCATTATTAATAGATGAAAAAAATAAATTTTTAAGTTAAATATGTTTTTAATGAAAATTAGAATTAGTTTTTTTTTAAAAATTTGAAACAATTCTTTAAATTTAGTTTTTTTAAGGTTTAATCCTTTTCGACATCCCTATTTATGTACGAATGTCTCAGATGGGTCCTCGTTTTCTAAAGTGTATCAAAATGGTCCTTAATTTTGAAAATTGATATCAATTGAGTCCTTTCCGTTAAGTTGGCTGGACGGCGTTAAAAAAATTGATGAGTGGATGCTGAGATGACAAACGAACGCTCGTCCACCAGCGAACGAACGCTCGTTGACCACCGAACGAACGGTCGTCCAGTGTGGAACGAACGGTCGTCCAGCAGTAAGAGGTCGACGAACGTTCGTTCTCTGGTGGACGAGCGTTCGTTCGCTGGTGGACGAGCGTTCGTTCGTCATCTCAGCATCCACTCATCAATTTTTTTAACGCCGTCCAGCCAACTTAACGGAAAGGACTCAATTGATATCAATTTTCAAAATTAAGGACCATTTTGATATACTTTAAAAAACGAGGACCAATTGAGACATTCGTACATAAATAGGGATGTCGAAAAGGATTAAACTTTTTTTAATTAAATTTAAATATATTTGATGGCGTAAAACTCAAAATTATTTAAATCAATTTAATATTAAATGTTTTTAATATTAATATGACATAAATGACTAAATTTATTTCTCTCAAAACCATGCTTGCAAATCTGGAACACTAAATGCTTAGGACCAAGTTCTAAGTTCTAACTTCAAGGTTCCACAATTTCCTGCAAAAGATAATAAAGAAAAAAAAACTTTCTATTTAATTTAAGAATAGGATTGGTACTGATTACCCTAAAGTGCATGGTTAAGATACAATTAAGTAATTAGCTGTTTTCTTATCAAAATTTACTAGCAGTAGTTAATTGTAGGGGTGGGCAAATGGAAGTGGAATAATTGAAAAATTAAAAATGAAGGAGAGATGGAAAAATACAATAGAGTTCTCACAATTAATTGAACAAAAAATGTTATAAGTTGAGTTTTTAAAAATTAAACTATAAAATAGTATATTTAACTTTTTAGTAAAAATGAATAATTTTTTTAGTATGATATAGTATAATTAATTATAATGTAGTACAGATAATTATTTTTCTCCAGTCGTAAAAGTAAGCATAATCGATTTTGGCCTAGTCTTATCACATAATATTTGTAATGTTACCACCTATAAGCATAATCAATAATTTCATAGATTATAGAACTTCATGTAGTTTCCATAATAGCATAATTTATATCCAATAACATTTGGGAAAAAAGTCATTATAAACTAAACAACTTATGTTTATGAATAGTTTTCCACCAAGTGAAATAAACTTTCAATTCTGTATTGGACCTTTCATCAAACTGTTCCAAAAATTTTACTCTATGTAATTAATTGAATCTAATTTTATAAAATTGAATATCTCATTTTAACACACTATATACAATATATAATGATTTTTCTACTAATTCAGTTAGCCCCTATTTAGTGAAAGTTTCAGATTCAACTCTCTTGAAAAGAAATTTTATTTAAAATAAAAAATGGTGTCCAAAAATTATAAAGATTATATGGCTGAAAATTTTATTGAGTTTAGTTTTAGAATATTCAGATAGTTTTCAGAAAAGACAATAATAGTTGTTACATAAATTTCGTGGAATGTAAGATATTCAATTTGAATTTCCGTGCTTGTAACATCCAAAAAATACAGTATAAAACTATATCATAGAATACTCATGTATTAACAATATTACAGATAAGTTCAGAAAGGAAGTATACGCTTATGGCCGAACGACCTTACAAAATACTACAAAATTTAAGATTTACAAAATCACCACCAACGTCTAGACCGAACGGTTATGAAACTAAGCTTACACCGATCGGTGTTATAAAATAAAACCCAACCTAACGACCGAACGATCTTAGGGTTCCGCTTTCACTTCCACTTCTACCAAAGCCTCTTCCAGCAACTCTTCTCCTTCTGCTCACATCCACAAGATGATCATTGCAACAGGAACAAACAACTGAATGACAATACAAACAAGACAGGAAAAATAGGGTAAGCTTATATAATTTAATTAATCCAATAAAACCTATACTTCACATAACTTCGAACATAATTCCATATACAATCATGTAACATCTAATCATGCATTTCCAATCAAAATCATCGTCAAAACATGCAATGACCGACCACTTTACTCTGACTGTCCGGACTGTATGAATTTTGTGTAGCTACTACGTTTTTGCACCTGGGTGATGTAATAGCTGGGATGCCCTCAACAGCTGCCACCCGAGGTTAGTCCGTTCCGTCAAAGTTCACCTTACGGACTAGGACCTCCTGCCATTCTCACACATGACTTACTCCTCTTTACTTGAGAATGAGTAATCACATAATATCAGGATAACCTCCAGCTAATCATAACCATATTCATACTCTACCATTCAATAACCACTTATGAGATATTCCTCCCTGGAATACTCTTTCATTTCCATTCTATTCCATTCATATTCAATAATACAATCATATTGAACCAATACAAACAGATCCCATCTGAAATCAAAACTAAACCATAACATTTCCCCAGAGACAAGACCGAACGTTTTGATACATTCTAGACTAACCCAGATGGACATATAGTGTAAGACCGAGCGTTCTTCCACTTATACACCGAACAGGACCGAACGGTCCATTCTAGATAAGACTCCTCATAAGCCGAACACTATCATCATAAACCGAACGCTCGTGGTAATATTTGGACGTTTATTGGTTACTCATCAGTTACTACAGGACGTGATTTTACTAGACAGAACTTCTAAGCATGTACTGAATACTAAAGAATAAGTGTATTTTTAGACTTAACTGAAAATTGAGATAAATATTTGTGAAACCCAAGAACTTAAACTGAACCCTACAGGCTTAAACCGAATACTATTGATTTGAACCAAACACTCTTAGTTCAAAGATAGTAGACAATGGAGTATAATATAAATATCGAACGCTTGGTTAAAGACCAACCACTATTGAGACTGAGTACTTGATTCAAGACCGAGCACTACTGAGACTGAACGCTTGGTCCAAG